TGTTGTTCTAGGTTCGAATGGGTTTAGGGAAGAAAGGGGGAGAAGGGTTCAGGCTTTGCAGGAGGTGGGGCTCACTTTTTTTTTCTTGTTTGGTTTTGGGGCAGAATGGAAGATCATACTGCCCTAGCATCTTTTTTTTTCCAGGTGTGCGTTTGAGGTGTCATTTTATTTTTGACATGTCATCATACTACTTTGTTAATTAATGACACGTCACTGGATTTTTAACGGATTTTTAATGGAGGGACTAAATTGGGGTCAAAATGGTAAATAGTATAGACCAAATCAAGGATTTTTTGAGTTGAGGGACTAAGTCGGGGGTCCGTACGATAGTTGAGGGACCAAAATGGGGGTTTAACCTTTTTTTTAATGTGGGTACAGTAACATGGCATAAATTTTAGTCCATTTTAATATATTTTTAAGTGTTTTTATTCATGTCATTAAAAAAATGTCAAGTAGATTGAGTTAACGTCCTGACAAAGGGACTAAAATTGTGAAAAATTATAAAGTTGAGAGGTGGTGTGTAATATGAAAGATTTTGTAGGTGCTTGGGATGCAGGGTTTATAAATAGTTATTAATTATTGATTTTAATTGAATAAATTAAATATTTTAATTTATAAATAATAATAATTGTTAATCATTAAATTTAATTATTAATTATTAAATATATTTAGATAATTAATTTCAACAACTTTTTTTTTTATCTTGGGTATATAATTATCACACCTCATCTGTATACCATGTAACTTGAATTTAAGATCTCTTACTCCCAATGAAAAGAGATGGCTACTAAACTATTTAGATAATAGGTAATTTGGACAACTCTTTAGTTTCTATTGATAGAAATTTTTAAGTGCTGCTGGCGCCTCCAGAGCTTTAAGTTGTGTTTGGTTGTGCTTTTTCATATAATATTTTATACAAGTATTAATTTATTATAATAAATTAATTTTAATTAATATCTTTGTATAATTTAATAGTCATATTAATGTATAAGTCACTTTTCAAAACAATTACTTTATTTATTTTTAGTAAATTTAATTTAACTCTTTTGATTTTTTAAATATGAATTTTAAATGAAAATTAATAATTTATATAAATAACAATTAAAATTTTTTTTCTTTTTATATGAAGTTCTTATTGAGTACTTTAATTTGATTTTAAAAAAAATTTAATTATCATTTATATGATATGTTAAATTTTTATATAAAATTCATATATATAAAAAAATCAAACTAGATTTATTAAATTTAACAAAGAGAGTATTAAATAATAATATAATTTTTTTATAATAAAATATTAAAAAAACCTATAATCATAACAATTCACAACAATTTTAAACACAACTTAAATCCCAAAAGATTATTTGGAAACAACAAGAATAATGATAAATAGAACCAAAATTTAGTACCAAAATATGAGATCAATAACGTGATTTACACCACATCATTTAAAATATTAACAAGTAAACTTTATATTATTTAATGATTAATTTTTTTATCTTTTTGAGACACGAAAATATTGTATATAATCGCTAATTTTATGAAGTATAGATAGCAGTGTAAATCTATATTACCTTTAGAGTCTCCTAATTTAAGATATTCTTCTTTACCCAATAACATTTAGAAGATAAAGTAAAATAGGGAACTAGAAGAATGTGGCGAACACTCTCTTTGGGAGAAAAGTAACATGTCCTATTTATTGGATTCTTGGTCTTGTAATTCTCATTTATATGTTAATTATATGAATAAATAGGATAAATACTATGAAATAATGTGCTCTTAAATAAAACAATTAACCTACAACAGTTAATTTAATAAATCCTTCATAAGATAATAAATTTAATTTATAAAATATATTTTTTTATTTTTTTATTAAAATACTTAAGTTCCAGCAGTTCTAACATCCCTCTTGAATAGTTTGAGACAAAACCAAGCACAAGTTGAGTTTAGGCAAGTCTTACACAAATAGAGCATGAGAGTGAAACTAAGTATATTTGTAATTTGGAATGTGCTTGACAAGTACATCAAGCACCAATAGTGGGGGAATGTAATAACAATCCCACAAACCAAGAGTCTCACGGTGAAAAAGAAAGTGACTCTTGGAGTGATTTATATAGAAGAGCTAACACTTCTAATTAAAGTGGACGTAATTTAAAATCACAAACTCACTTTAGCGAGCTAAAACGAATAATATCCATATCAGTTTTTGAGTTGTTACGTACGTCTTATCGATAAAATAGAGATTAGATTAATTATATAGATGGATTTTATGGTATAATGAAGTAAAAATGTACCCATAAACATCTAATCAAGTTTATAGCATGCATTTAACCAATTTAAAATTTCACCGTTAGTTCAAAATATGTGTAACATCTAACTAATTTAAATTAATATTGGCTTTTGATTTAACTAATTTTATGGGTACCCATAAATTGTCCCGTCCATAAATATCAAGCTAAACTTTGTTTTTAAAGATGGCATATGTGACTCATTTGAATTGTTTGCATTTAAATTTAAATTAGTTTTAAACATCCAATCAAATTTGAAAACTCTTATTTATGTCCCTTTA